GGCCTCGATTGAGTGCCGTGTGTGTGCTAAACATCGCCACTGCAGACGAGCAAACTGTGGGCCGCTTTCCGCACCACTTCCGCGTTATTTAATGTTGAACGCGGCGTTTGAAGGTCGCGAGCAACGAGATTCCTACTGCCCGTGGCTCCTCGCTTGGGGGTTACGTAACGAGGGCAGGGCGTTTAGCGATTCGCGGATGTCAACCGCGAACCCGTCACACTCACACACGCGCACACATCACGCAGATGAGCGCTGGAGTTTCTAGCAAGCCGCCGAAACCGGCCCAATAACGGAGGCTCGGGTCAAAGTCACGCAAACACAAAGACCCCCCCCGCACCCCCCCCCCCCGTGTCGCCTCAACAGACTGTTGGGGCACAAGTGCTGGTTAGCGAGCACTGAGGGTGACCAGCACCACGCGCGACCGCCTCCGTCTCCCCCAGTGGCGATGTTTGCACAGCACGCGTCAGCACAACATCGAAGGGTGCATTTACCCCCCCCCCCCGCCCCCTTTTCCACACGGAGCTACACCCGGGCAGGTGTCTGAGTGGGCTCGAGGTCTCCTACCAGAGAGCCGTGCTGCAGTGTCCCTTGGGATGGAGTTCAACGCAATAGCGGCACCAGACCTCGGCGAGGTTGAACCCTTGACGCCCGAGCACAGAGGCCCGTCCCTGGACCCTTCGCGAGAGTTGGCAACCAAGGGTGGATAGATGGACGAGTGGGTGAGTGAGTGGGTGAGTGAGTGGTTGAATTAATGAGTGACTTGGTAAAGGGCTGAGTGAATTAATTAACGAGTGGGTGGTTGGTTGAGTGTTTGGGTGAGTGGGTGAGTGGGTGAGTAGATGAGTGGGTGAGTAGATGAGTGAGTGGTTGAGTGGGTGAGTAGATGAGTGAGTGGTTGAGTGGGTGAGAAGATGAGTGAGTGGGTGAGGGGTTGCCACCTTTTCGTCCCTTGCGCGTACAAAACAAAATAAACACCCCACTTATTCACCGGGAGTGAGAGAGAGAGTGCGAGTGAGAGAGAGTGAGAGAGGAAAGGAATACGAATCGATACCCGGGGTCGGCAGTGGGATGGCGACGTGGGTGGGATGTGTGCGTGTGTTCTTTGTTGTTATTCGCTGTTATTGTTGTTGTTGTGTGCATGTAGCTGGTGCATCTGTCAGTCATCTCCATCAGTCAACCCATTGCACCGAGCTGGGTCTGTGACCTCCTGCCGGCAACGAGCCCTCGACACTTCACGCGTTGGCCTCAAAGCGCACCTAGCCTGGCACAAGCGCCGCCGTGACGTCGTCGTTGTTGTTGTTGTGCGTGTCGTGTGGGCGAGCGGTGGTGCAGCGGTTAGCCGCTACGCTACACACCCGGCGACCCGGTACGGTTCCCGCTCACGGCCAACACTAATGACGATTACCCGAACCGGTCCTGAGTCTCCCCTAGGTTGACTCAGCCTTAAATGAGTACATGGTGTGGTGTGTAAAAACATCGCCACTGGGAAGACAAAGACGCCCAACCCGGCATGGTGTCGGCCACCCACCTACAGCACTTGCCCCGACAGTCTGTTAACGGATACACGGGGGATCTTTGCCTTTGTGTGTGTGCGCGCGATCGCTCTTACATAAGCGCACTGCACGCGGAGCGTGTGATTAGCATGCAGCGGTCGTGCCCACACTGATTCCACCCCGCACGTGCCGGCTGCTGCCGCTGCTGCTGCTGCTGCTCCGCTAGGTGGGTGCTACTGCTGCTGGTGGTCGTGGTGGTCGTGGTGGTGGTCGGTCAGAGGAGCGACGCTCACAACAACGACGCGGAGCGCCGGGCGGATAAAGCGCACCAAGTGGGCACAGTGGGGAGCACGGCTGGTGCATCTGCCAGTCGTCTCGGTCAGCCCAACCCACTTCACCTGGGTCTGTCACGTGACCTCTTGTCAGCCAGCGACATTTCACGTGGTATACGAGTGCACCTAGCCTGGCACAAGCGCCGTGGCGAGGTCACCGCCACCTAGTGGCGTTTGGTGGCTGTTGTTGTCGTTGATTTGCGGGTCCGCGCTCAGCTGCTGCCTTTGTCTCTCTGCTGGCGAGCGTGCTCACCGAGCTGCACTCAGCTGCGGCGTCCCCACGACCACCGCGCGGCAGAGCCGTGCCGGGCCGTGCCGAGCCGTGCTGGGCCGTGCCGAGCCCTGCCAAGCCGTGCTGGGCCGTGCTGGGCCATGCCGAGCCGTGCCGAGCCGTGTTGGGCCGTGCCAGCTGCCAGCACGCTCCTTGGCCCAGTGGCTCTGCAAAGCTTCGCTCTTGGCCCAGGACCGCAGCTGCTATCGAGTGCGCAGGCGGTGCAACTGCACCGGGGCCCACGGGCAGGAGAGTCTTCATTCCCCGCACCGGGGTCCAGTTCCACCCACACTCCCGCAGCCGGCTCACCCCCCACCTATCACCCCGCACCCCCACCTCCACCATCTCTCCCTTCCTCCATGGCAGAAGGGAATGAATTGTATTGTCGGTGCTCATGACGATTTAGGCTCGCTTGGGTTCAGTGACTCCGTTTCAGTTCCACGCTATCCCAGCTGAAGGCCCCCCCCCCACTCGCACGCGAAGCACGTGGCTCACGGCGTTGGCCACAGCAATTGGCACCAAGCGGCGGGGGTCGTCTCTCGTCCACGCCGGCCCCCCGCGCGGCCTGCGGTGACCGCGGCTCCCGCAGCGGCCTGCGGTGACCGCGCGGCAAGCCGAGCACTGGGAGCGACTGCGAGGCTCGCGCTGCGGCCCGGACCCTGTGCTTGGAGCGCCGTCCCCTCGCAGCGCCTGGGGGTTCTCCGGGCGCTCCGGTTTCCTCCCACGTGTATAATAAACACCCGTCAATTGGCCGATAAACACCTTAACGTATAGAGGACCGCAGAGCTTGGAGCATTTGGTAGCCCCGGCTCCCGCTCGCCTGTGGTTCCTCCTCCTCCTGTCGCCTCTGAGTCGTTCTCGATCTTTTTTTTTGAGAGCGAGCGAATACCGTGCACACTAGAAGTTGAACATATTATAACTGTGAAGAAGCTACAGCCGGCAAACTACCATGAGCCATGAAGCTAGTCAGCTGTGAAGACACAAGCGATGAAGAATCTGGAAACCTGCCGGTGCATCGGCCGAGCAGCACACAGCGGCATCCAGTCCCTGGTGGCTACGCTGCTGCACGTGGCTGCCTGTAATTCAGCACTGTGGAGGCATCAGCGGAGGTTGGCGGATCACACAGAGATGATGTGAAACTCCCATCCCATAGTTATCGAGAAGGTGCCGTACCCTGGCTCGCCCAGAGAACGCTGTACAGCAACAACAAAAACTACACAAACTCCACCTGTTCCGTCTGTATGGGCTAGAGCGTTTCCCCCTTGCTCGCAAGTGCAAAGTTTCCTCCCACGTGTATAATAAAGACTCACGAATTGGCCAATAACACCTTGCTATGTCAAAAGCCGCAATTGTTGGTAGCGCCGGGCGAGGGGGAACACTGCGTGGCGGCGGTGCGTTACAAGTTGACGTCAATATCATATCGCTGCTGCGTGTACCGCCCAGTACGGTGTCGGTTCCTTCGTGTGCAATGTTTCCAAAAAGATCCCCGTGCACACGCTGAGCGCGAGCTGCCTCCAGGGTGACCGCCTGCTCCACACACAGAACAGAACCGGGACGGATTGCTGGGTCCAAATCAATTCCTGCCACCCGACTACGGATGCCAATTTCCCCCAATTGTCCCGGTGGGTACCCGGAACAGTTGGCAACCCCGAGGGAGAGGATGTGTGATCGCGTGAGTGGATGAGTTACCGAGTGACGAACGAGTGAATGCGATTAATGGGTGAGGGTGTGAGTCGTTGAGTGAGCGAATATTCATATCTACTCATTTATTGGGGAAGGCCACGCTGAGTCACAAATATCTCGGTACAAATTAATTCCTGCCACACAAATAACCACAGATGCCAATTCCCAGGCAGGTGGCGACGCTAGCGTGGGTGGGTGAGTGATTGAGTGGGTGAGTGGCTGAGTTACTGAGTGACTTGGCAAACGAACGATTGAATTAATGAACGGGTGAGTGGGTGAGTGATTGAGTGGTACGGGGGAGGGTTGGCACCTTCTTCACACAGCACAAATCCGGACACTTCTCGTAGTCAGCCCAGGTTGATGCAAACTGTGCAGTCTGTGCAGCAGTACATTTTAACACAACGCCGTCACCAGATCTCGGTGCAAAGCAATTCCTGCCACCCAAACACAAACACCGATTTCTCCAACCTGTCCCGGGTCATCCCGGGACAGGTGGTAACCTGACTGCTGCAACCACCACACGTCCGATACAAACACAATGCAAGCAACGCTCCCGTGCAATAATACAAAGCAACGCATACGACACAATAATACAAAACTCCAGTGCAACACGACGATTTGTATGGAGGGTAAACGCGACCGCATCAACAGACATTGCACAGAATACTGCTCTGTGGCTTACATGCGTGTTGTAACATGCGTGTTGTAACATGTGACGCACACACACAAAGACCCCCCGTATAGCCTTCAACAGTCTTGGAGGCAAGTGCTGTGAGCGAGCGACCTATGACGGCGGCACGAGGGGGGTGGGTGGCCAGCACCACGCCTGCCCCCCCCCCCGCCGTCTTTGTCTCTCCAGCGAGAATGTGTTAGCGGCGCACGCGGCGCCCTAACCACTGCGCCACCGCTCTCCACACGCGCACAGCCACTTCGTGTCACTCCACTGCTGGATGAGGACCTCTCCGCACACGGTGCCGGGTCGCAGGGGTTACTTTGACCATACTTCACCAATCTGGTCACTGTGAGTTGGTGAAAGCGGCGAGCCACAGAGGCGGGTGCAGAGAAGTGCCGTGCAGCAGCTGGGCCTGCTGCACCGCACTTTCTGCTGCGTCCCTGCCACGGCAGCAGCAGGAGCAGCCTATAGCACCTGCTATGCCGGTGCTGTGCGAGAGGCAGTGGGTGCGTCGTCGTGGAGACAGCGCACACCCACGGGGTACTCACAGCGCTCTCCACGTGGGTGTCTCCACGTGTCTCCACGTGGGTGTCTCCACGTGTCTGTCTCCAGGGGTCCGGGTGTCTCCGCCTGTCTTCTTTTGTCCGTCTGCTAGCAACCGGCTCTGTGTGCGTGTCTCCAAGTGCCTGTCTCCCTGTCTCTACGGAGATTGCTTGGCCACGCGTTAGCCCCCCACCCCCCCCCCCCCTATGTCTCTCTGCGTCACTCTGTGTCCCTGTCTCCCCGTGTCTCCGTTTCTATGGCGACCGTCTCCTCGTGTGTATCGCTGTCTCTATGGAGACCCTGTCTCCCCGTGTGTCTCCCCGTGTGTCTCCCTGTGTGTCTCTCTATCTCCCCCCGTGTGTATCGCTGTCTCTATGGAGACCCCCGTGTCTCCTCGTGTGTCTCGCTGTCTCTATGGAGACCCTGTCCCCCTGTGTGTCTCCCTGTGTGTCTCTCTGTCTCTATGGAGACCCCCGTGTGTCTCCCTGTGTGTCTCTCTATGCCCCCGTGTGTCTCCCCGTGTGTCTATGTCCCCGTGTGTCTCTATGTCCCCGTGTCTCTCTATGTCCCCGTGTGTCTCCCCGTGTCTCTCTATGTCCCGTGTCTCTCTATGTCCCCGTGTCTCTCTATGTCCCCGTGTCTCTCTATGTCCCCGTGTGTCTCCCCGTGTCTCTCCCTCTCTCCCCGTGTGTCTCGCTGTCTCCGCGCTGGCCTCTTTGATCGTGACGCTCCACTCGGGTCCAGAACGCTCCTCCCGGGCGCGACCATTCCGCACTCGGCGTTCAATTCCCACATTTTTACTCAACCCCCGAATTACAACTCAGTTATCTAAGTGGAACACACGCACTCATGCGATCTTTAGTCTCCTAAATGAGCTTTGCCTCTTAAACGTTTTAAATATTTTAGGTGGAAAACAAAAACCCCCCCACCCACTCCTGCCACTTTGGTTTAACCCGCCGGGAATCTGTGCAAGGGGCGTGACGTCACGTCAAAGCACACGACCGGTGACGTCACGTCGAAGCACACGACCAGTGACGTCACGCACAAACAGTCTCCACGGCAACCGTTGACGTCACGGGCGGGAACCTCACAACCCCCAAGCGGGGCATGCGACTCCAAGCGGTCGAATGACGGAACAACTCGCGGCTGACGTCACGGATGATGCCCACACACTCACGACACCAATGACGTCAAATATAAAAAAAAACTAAACAGATTGTGTTGGTGGTGATGCTGCTGTTTGGGCAGTCGTAGGCAACTACCATTAACAACAGCTCATACAACAAATACACACATACAGACAGACCCCGGGTTACGAAAGGGTTAGGTTCCCGAGAACGATCCGTAGCCCGAATTTTCCGTGTGTAGGAAACGGAACAATTTCCCCTAAAAAATCAAGAAAAATTCCATTCACCTCGACCCGAATGAACCTCGAGTGAGGAGGCGTAAGGCTGCCCGCCTTACGGTATTCATCCGCGCCGCACTACTTGCGCTGACGTAACCAACGCGAAACATCTCCGCGTGTTGAACGTGTCGGACGTGATTTACGGGAGCATTTCCGTGAGGTCGGAGTTCCGTAAGTTGGGACTTCCGCAACCCGGGGACTGTCTATAAACTAGGCGACGTTTCGTGCTATGAAGTAGGCACATTGCCCGAAACGTTTCCTTTCACACCTTCGATTGGCGCGTTTGACGTACGGTGTGAAAGAAGTTTTACATCGATTGAAAAAATGTTTTTCTCGTTGTAGACCACACGGCGTGATTGGCACGTGCTGGTGAGACGAGGCGATGAAGAAGGCTGCTGTCCCTGGTGAAGGCCAATCAGTTTAAAAAAAACAACCCCATAGATCACAATTATCAGAGCACAAGTCCCGTGTGTGTGGTTAATGCAGACTTGATTCCTTGCGGAGGGTATCTACTTTGGTGTTTGAACATCTCAACGCCTGTTCTATTGCCAGAAAGGGTCAAACCTATTCTTCTTTTTCTCACTTTGACATTGGCAGATAGGTCCCCATGATGATAGGTGCCGAGTGGACTTGTTAGTGGTGGCCAGAGGCTGGACACCACAGCCAACGCAGCAGCAGTAGCAAACTCCGTCGATGTGCTTATCTCAAGGTCCGATACATATTTGTTTTTGTTTAAAAAAAGTGAACTCACAGACGCCGCGTAAAATCTAAGCGTTTATTAACATTTGTCAATCGGCACAAATGGTGACCGCAAAACGTTTCAAATCAGCGACCCTCTGCGTTGCCTCGACCGAGACGTCCCTGGATCCAGGCCGCGTCCAACTTCACACGGCACCACCGCCTCCACCACAGGGCACCACCGCCTCCACCACACGGCACCACCGCCTCCACCACACGGCACCACCGCCTCCACCACACGACACCACCACCTCCACCACACGGCACCACCACCTCCACCACACGGCACCACCACCTCCACCACACGACACCACCGCCTCCACCACACGGCACCACCACCTCCACCACACGGCACCACCACCTCCACCACACGGCACCACCACCTCCACCACACGGCACCACCACCTCCACCACACGACACCACCGCCTCCACCACACGGCACCACCACCTCCACCACACGGCACCACCACCTCCACCACACGGCACCACCGCCTCCACCACACGGCACCACCACCTCCACCACACGGCACCACCGCCTCCACCCCACGGCACCACCGCCTCCACCACACGACACCACCGCCTCCACCACACGGCACCACCGCCTCCACCACACGGCACCACCACCTCCACCACACGGCACCACCACCTCCACCACACGGCACCACCACCTCCACCACACGGCACCACCACCTCCACCACACGGCACCACCGCCTCCACCACACGGCACCACCGCCTCCACCACACGGCACCACCGCCTCCACCACACGGCACCACCACCTCCACCACACGGCACCACCACCTCCACCACACGGCACCACCACCTCCACCACACGGCACCACCACCTCCACCACACGGCACCACCACCTCCACCACACGGCACCACCACCTCCACCACACGGCACCACCACCTCCACCACACGGCACCACCGCCTCCACCACACGGCACCACCGCCTCCACCACACGGCACCACCACCTCCACCACACGGCACCACCACCTCCACCACACGGCACCACCACCTCCACCACACGGCACCACCACCTCCACCACACGGCACCACCACCTCCACCACACGGCACCACCGCCTCCACCACACGGCACCACCACGCGACTACTTTTATCTCCTTGCCGACCCACATCAGGAAGCACCTTCACTCGCGATCCGAGTTCCTGTTGACAACCTGAGGATGCTGGATGTAGTCCACGCAAATGTTGCGAGACTCAACAACAACAACAACGCCCCTGCTGGTGCTGCTGCTGCTGAAGCAGCGATACATCGGGCCACGTGTCTATTCACGTGGGCACTTTTATTCGTTGGCTGCGTCGGGTGGCAGAAGGTTTATGACGCAACATTTTATTTACACGACAACAGAACTTTAAACCAATTATTAATCAGAACATCCCGCCGTAGAATTTAGAACGTCAACAAAAACGTTGCCGATTTTGCCCAAAGTTTAGCTGGAGGTTACATCCAGCATCATCAGGTTGCTAGCGGGCGCTCAGCTCTCGCGACAGGCGCAATCTCCAGTGAAACGTCGGACGAAACATTTCAAAAGTCTCGCCTGGGCTGTTCCACGTTCTGCCTCGTCAGCGTCCGTGTTTTGTTGGAAAACCCAAAATCAGTTGGCACGTTGCCCACCCCGTGACTGGCACCGCCGTCGGGCGGTGGCGGGCTAGCTTAAAAACATCTAACCCAAAACAGAAACAAAACTAATTATGAAACTTGCTAAAGTTGGGCCAACGTCCGTACGGGGCTGTAACCGTTGGCCCAACCTTAGCCCGACGTCGGCTCGACATTGCACGATTTCTGGGCCAGCGGGTATCGCCCCCCTCCCCCGCCACCTCCTCCACCGTGCGGCAGCCCGCGGCCTCGAGTGTTTAGGAGCTCTTCGTCGGGACCCTGATGGTCACCGTCTTCACCTCCGTGTACTCCTGCAGCCCGTACTCGCCCCTGCGCGAGACGGGAGGGAACAGAGGGAAGCGGGCGGAGGTGAGCAGTGGCAGCAGTGGCAGCAGCAGGGGGGAGGAGGAGGAGGTGGTGGTGGCGGCGGCGGCGGTGACGGTGGCCATGGGAAGGTGAGCGGCCGTGCTGGGCCACGCGGCCCGTAGCCCAGAAGCGAGGGCTGGTGGATCACGGATGGCGCACGTTCGAGAAAAGCCCTCCCCACGTACCCGCGGGCGTCGAGGTCGCCGTCCCTCCCGACTTGCCGGGGTGCGGGAGTACAGCAAGCGGGTTCACTTACGGCTGTACGGGGACTGAGCGTTACCTCCCCCTCGCCCAGCGTGGGTTTTGTTTCGGGTTGTCATGAACGGAGCCGGTCAAACATCCCAATTACAGCGCCGCTGAGCCTGGCCAATGGTAGGTGGCGCTGGTTCGAGCTGCCTTCCCACTCGTGCGCGGTTTCTCACACCTCTGTGATAAATCTGCGCACTTTACAAATTCTAGAGCGCTTTGAAGGTATATTCATCGTAAATACGTCAAGTTGTAATGTGCCGTGCAGCTTTAGCTCAGTCTTGACGGGAGAGAACGACCCGCGACGAGCAACCACAGACGAGCGGGAAGGGCAGCAGCCACGCGGTGAGCCCAGGCTGCCAATGGTTGCCCAAGCTCTGCGGTCCTCTATATATATGAAGGTCTTATTGGCCAAGTTAATAGATCTTTACATGTGGGAGGAAACCCGAGCAGCACCCGGAGAAACCCCACGCGAGCGAGCGAGCGAGCGAGCGGGAAACGCTCGAGCCCATCCAGACGCAGCAGGTGCAGTCCACACTGCTGCTGCGCCGCCCTCTCGTGGCGAGCCTGGGTTACGGCTCCTCCGCGACGCCCGCGGGAAGGGGGCGGTGGGAGCCACCACACAACTCCTCCACCGCTGCTAGCGCGACGCAAAGTGAGCGTGGGCGGCTACTCACATCTCCCGGCCGTTTCCCGACATCTTGAATCCGCCGAAGGCGGTCTGCGCCTGGATCACGTTGTAGCAGTTCACCCTGCAGACCGACACAGCAGGCGGTTGTGAACAACAGCAGCGCGCTGTGCACAACGGTTGGCGTGCGGGTGTCAGTGGGTATGCGAGTGTGTGGGTGTGTGCTTGAGTGGGTGTGCGAGTGTGTGTGTGAGTGTGCTTATGGCTAGCTCTGATTTGACAGCAGAGGTCTCACTCCAAATCTGTCGGGCGACATTATCTTTTCATTGACTGTGTAATGCTATGTGGATGCTACCTGGCCTGTCGCTCCACACGAAGCTTCGGTTCTTCTCAGCCACAGTCATGCCCTCCCTTCTCTATGCTTGTATGTGCCTGAGTGCGTGCGTCAGAGCGTGAGCGCGTGCGTGCCTGCTCACCAGACGGTGCCGGCCTGCAGCCCCGCGGCGAGCGTGAGGGCCGTGTCGAGGTCGCGGGTGAAGACGGCTGCGGCGAGGCCATACCTCGTGTTGTTAGCCCGCTCCAGCACCTCCTCCACCGTATCGAACTTGAGGATCATCTGCACCGGCCCGAAGATCTGTTCGCACGCACGCACGCACAATGTCCAGAGGCCTCCAGGCTCCGCGGGGGTTAAATCAAGAGGCGTTGCGACGCGCTCACGGCGGTGGCTGACCCCAAGCCGGCGATCAAATGTCTACGTGTCTCTGGAAGGGTCCGGTCTCAAAAGAAGACCATTAATGCAGACTCTGAAGTTTCCACAGTTGGCTCTGCGGGGGCTGTAAGCGAGAGGTGAGCAGCAGGAAATCGTAGCGAGGACAACTCGGGGCAGGGCTGTGCCTTGCCTCCTCCGTGACGATGCGCATGTGGTCCTGCACGTCGGTGAAGACGGTGGGCTGGATGAAGAGCGCCCCAGCCGCGGTGTCCGCGCCGCCCCCGCACGCCACGCGCGCCCCCTCCGTCTTGCCGCTCTCCACCAGCTCCAGCACCTTGTCGAACTGCGTCTGGTCCACCTGCGGGGTCACGCGGCGGGGGTCACGCGAGGTCACGCGGTGGGGTCACGCGGTGGGGGTCACGTGACAGAGTCACGAGAGGTCACACAAGGTCACGTGGGGGTGCAGGGAGAGGCACGGTACCACCCGTTGTATTTGTCCGCTGTCCGTGTTGTCCGTTCACACAATACTCACCCTGAAGCTATTTTGCCGTTTCTGCAAATTCATTTCACAATTACAGGAATACCGCCCCCCCCCCCCCCCCCCCCGCTATACATGAGGGATGCGTTCCTAGGAAATGCTGCTTAAAATCAGGGGTTGCGTTCCGGGCGGGAATTCGTGACTAAATGTCATGAAGCGTACGGAAATACATACGATTAGAAGTTAGCACCCCCTCCCCTCTCCCTCCTCTCACACGGAGGAGTCATTGCTTTGCGCGGAACTATTTAAACTACGAAACTAAACTATTTAAGCTACTATTTTTTTTTTAATTTTACCAGGTAAGGCCCACTGAGCTATGTAGCTCTTGTTTCAGAAGGGACCCGGCTATCACAAATGATAGCTCAACGAAGTGGGCTCATCGTCATCATCATCATCATCACGTGGACATTTATAGCAGCAAAATACTCGAAACGCCGTGATGTTTATTTTAAATGTGGAGGGGAGAACCGGAGGGCTCGGAGGAAAATCCACACGAGCCCAGAGAGAGATGCAGACTCCAAATATACAGCAGCAGGCGTCAGGGTCGGCATCGAACCCACGACCTCCTGCACACCAGGCGAGGCAGTCAACATCTCCTAGTCACCGTGGTGATGATGATGATGAGAGACACGTGAACTCCAAATACAGCAGCAGCAGGCGTCAGGGTCGGCATCGAACCCACGACCTCCTGCACACCAGGCGAGGTAGTCAACATCTACTAGTCACCGTGGTGATGATGATGAGAGACACGCAAACTCCAAATACAGCAGCAGCAGGCGTCAGGGTCGGCATCGAACCAACGACCTCCTGCACACCAGGCGAGGTAGTCAACATCTCCCAGCCACCAAACGTCAACTTGACGGCCGTGAGCGGCGGTGGGGGGGGGGGGGGGGGGGGGCTGCAGGCGACCGCCACCGCGTGGTCCTCACCTGCGGGCCCTGATCGGTGCCGGGCCGGAGGGGGTCTCCGAGGGCGCGGCGCCGCGCGCGCTCCACCGTGCGGCGCACGAACTCGTCGTAAACGGGGGCCTGCACGAAGACGCGCGAGCCCGCCGTGCAGCACTGGCCCTGGTTGAAGAAGGAGCCCTGGTGGGCCTGCTCCACCGCCAGGTCCACTGCCGGGGCCGGGGAGGCGACAACAAAAACCGACGCTTCTGCGTTGTGTTCGCGTAACGCGTGGCCGCGTTTTCGCGACGGGATCCTGTGCCGGGCCCCGTAAGGACGCGGCCAAAATTCAAGGGACGTCAAGGAGCCCTCGAAACGAGTCAAACTATCGAGTGGCGTGTGGGCGTTATTAACGATGCGGCGCTAATTGCGATCGTTTCGGGCTCGCTCGCCGGTTACGTTGAAGAACGACAACTCTGACAAACCGGAGTCAGCTCAGTTCGATCAACGCGACGTTCGGTTTGAAACTGCGTCGAGCGCCCTCGGGATGGAGATCCAGGAAGCGAGGGCAACGGCCCAGGAAGTCGGACTCATTTCTGTTGCTGTGAACCTTGGAGGGTGACCGTGGGCCCAGACCTCCACCTCGTTACCTGGAGTTGAACCCCGGCCTCCTGCCCTGGGAGTGCTCGGCGCTCTGCCACCTGACCCACCCGCCCTCGTTTTGAGGGCCTCATTTCTCACCGAATAATTATTCGAGATTTTTTCGCGCGACCGTCTGTGGCCGCGGCCATAGCGACGAGAAGATACACTCGACGTGGTGTGCCGGGCGCGGTGCCACCGGCCGACCGAGAGAGGAGTCTCGGCCGCTATGAATCTCCGGCGACTTTGGGAGTCCGTGGGCCGTGTGAACCGCGGCTCGTCGGGCCGCCGCCCCGGGGCACTCACGGTCCGCGTCGGCAAACACGATGTTGGGGCTCTTCCCGCCCAGCTCCAGGGTCACGCGCTTGAGGTTGCTGGCGCCCGCAGCCTGCTGGATCAGCTTCCCCACCTAGGGCCACGCACACCGGCGGCTCGACTCAGAACTCAGCCGCCGCAGACGCCCGGGCAGCTTCCCCCCAACGTTGGCACGTTGTTGAAGGCTGTTGGACTGACGTTGGTCCAACGTTGGTCCAACGTCAGCCCAACGTTCCATGTTTACGGGGATGAGGCGATGGATCGTTATGAGCCCAGGGGCATCCTTCATCGTGGTATAGAATGTTTTTGTGATAGAAACCGCCCTCCTTAACGCTGGCGGTGCCTCAATGGCGCTGTTACACGTGATGAGCATGAGTGCGCGCACACACACGGACAGCGGGGAGCGGTAGCGTCGTGGTTAGCGCACCGCATTACGAACCCGGTGAACTAAGCGCGATTCTCGCTCACGGCCAACACCGGTGGCGGCAAATCTGAACCGGTCATGGGCCTCCCCGGGGTCGACTCGGTCTTAAGTGAGTGCACGGTGGGGTGTGGAACCATCAGCGCCTGGCTTGCCGAAGTCAGCAGGGGCAGGCGTGGTGCAGTGCCACCCACCCGCCCGCGCGCCCCGACAGCCCGCTGCGGGCTACACGGCGGGACCCTTGTGATGTGTGCGCTCACCTCGGTGGAGCCGGTGAAGGCCACTTTGTCCACGTCCATGTGCCGAGCGATCGCGGCGCCGGCAGTCGGCCCGAACCCCGGCAGCATGTTGACGACGCCCGGCGGGAACCCAGCCTGGCAGGGGGCACGGGTGGCATGGATGCAAAGACAAAGATCCCCCACGTAGCCTTAAAAGACTGTTGGGGCAAGTGCTGTTAGCGAGTAGAGGCACCTGTGAAGGCCGGCGCGGCACACAGGGGGTGGGTGGCCAACACCACGCTCGGCCGCCTTTGTCTCCCCCAGTGGCGATGTTCACACACCGCACCAGGTACTCGTTTTAGGCCGAGTTGACCTAGGGGAGGCCCAGGACCGGTTCAGATAACCGTCACTGGTGTTGGCCGTGAGCGGAAATCTAACCCGGGTCGCCGGATTCGTAGCGCACGAATGCACACACACACACAGTCTCCAGATTTCAGTCTAAATCAGCTCGAGCCTCCTCCCGTACACACCACGTGACTTCTGCGTGGCCACCCCCACCCCGAGCCCCTCCCCTCTCCCCGTCCCCGCCCATTGTGGAAACAGACGCCGCTCCTCCTCCTCCATGCAGCAGCAGCAGCGGCGAGGCCCTCACGCAGCCTCCTCCTCCCTCTCCTCGTCTCTCCTGACCCATCCCTTTCCTCTGATTCCCCGTTCCTTTCTCTTTCTTCACACATTGTACCCTCGATTCGATCCTTCTTCCCGCCGTGTATCCACGCGTAGGACGTTGCTTGTATTTATAAAATAAAACAAGTATAACCCGTAAAAACAAAGTTTTTCACTATAAATCCTTTATATGCGTGGCGGCTAGAGTCCTCTCGTCCTCTGGCTTGAGATGGCTGCCACCTATGGGTCAGATGATTGCATGGCAGCATTAAGCAATTGGTAATTAAATATAATGTATTTTTGTCCTAAAAAGTGTAACATTTTGGAACATTAATTGTCACGTACAACGAGTCTGTGTGGAAAATGTCAGCTCGATTGGATCACGGGAAGTGGGTTAAAAAACGACCGAAAGATTTGCACGGTCCTAAGCAAGCAAGCAAGTGAACTTAATATAAAGGATTTAATAAAAAAAAGACACTCAAGAAAGACACGCACACGCGTGTATCATCATCAGCCACGAGCGCAGCCGGGTGAAGGGCCTCCCCGCGCCTGCAGCACAACGATCCATATATCGCCTTCGTCCGGTCGCACCGTCTCCGCTCCGTCTCGACAGCGGAGCCGCACTCTGCGGCGCCGAGTCGACACCAAAGCTCCCGCGGCACGGGCGGCCACGCCCGTGCCGCGGGGGCGCGCGCATGTGGAGCATCGGAACCGTCGGACATTTTCGCGCTGAACGACGCGCAGCGGCGATGCGAACGCGCGTCAAAGCGGCGCTGGCGGGTATTGGCGGCGCTGTCACCTCGAGGACGAGCGAGCACACGTGGAGGGCGCTCAGCGGGGTCTGCTCGGCCGGCTTGACGACCACGGTGTTGCCGCAGCACAGAGCCGGGGCCAGCTTCCAGGCCAGCATCAGCAGAGGAAAGTTCCACTGCGCACGCAGACATGGGGGGGGGAGGCGAGGGGAAGGGGGGGGGCCGGGATGACGGACTCGCTCACTCTCGCCCGTGTTTCGCCCGTCTCTACCGTGCAGCAGCGGCGGCGGCAGCAGCCGCGGGTTTCTGGCGGAGGGCGTCGAGGTGCAGCGGTGACGACGATGGCCGCGCCGCGAGCCACCGTCAACCCTTCCCACGTGCCGTGCCCGCTATCGTCACACCGGCCGATGCTGTGCAGCCCCCGTCAACCCTCCTTCCCATGCAACGGAGCGACAATTTGACCTTGGGGGCGGTGTCGCGCACCAGCAGAGGTGCAGGGCGCTCGCCCCGCTCGGTTTGGACGGTTCGCGGTTCGACACGGCGGGGGCCCACCCCAGTTAACGTCGCGGCGCGTCCGCCAGCGGCTAGAAACGCGACCACGGGCGGGCCGTCCGCTGCGCTCAAGAAACGGTGGACATTGAAGAACCCCGTGAGGTCACTCGAAGGAGCAGGCCATCGTGTGGCCGGCGTCGCGGTCCAATCGGACCCCTTTCCCTGCTTATGCATTTCATGCAGTGTACGCGTGTTGAACTTATTTTCGCACCGTGCGTAGGCAACCGCGCGCTAACTGGGGAATGCACAGCGATCGTCGCCCCCTATTGCGCACGCACTCGGCAGGACCCTCCTGAATGAGAGTCTTGAGACTTGGCGAAGCTTTGCTGAGTAAACAAGTGAAATAAGAAATAATGATACAATTACAACGGATGATAATCCTGATATGTCTTTGAATGGCAGAAAAAAACTGAACACATTCATTAATGGCCTTAAGAGGAAACATCTCCTCTAGGCAACGTTTCAGGCAATAGCCCTTCTGCATAGCATATCTTTCCAATGGATGAGAAACTGCCTGCGAATACGCACGCGTGGTATAGACTCTGACTACGCGGTGGCCGGGAGATGACAGTAAAGCGATGGATGGATGAACAAACGAATGAATGACTGGATGGTTGGATGTATGAATGAATTATGGAATGACTGGTTGAATGATTAATTATTTGATGACTGAATGGATTATTGAATGTATGTACAGATGAATGAATGATTGTATGAATGAACGAATTACTGCAGGTATGTATGGATGAATGATTGATGGAATGACAGAATGAATGGAGATTTTCGCGCTCACCGGGATGATCTGCCCACAGACTCCGATGGGCTCGTGCCGCGTGTACGAAATGAAGTCTCCGTCTGCCATCACGGAGACAACACAACAACGACAATGAAACAACAACACCACCATGATACAGCAACACGACAGAACACCGCAACTACACAACGACACAATTACGTAACACAACACAATAACACGGCGACATAACACGACACGATAACACAACGTGGCGTGTGCTGTGTCTGTGTGTTCGCGCTACGGTGGCGAGCGAGTGGGTTAGGGGGAGTGAGTGAGTGGGTAAGTCAGTGAGTGAGTGGGTTAGGAGGAGTGAGTGAGTGAGTGGGGTAGGGGGAGTGAGTGAGTGGGTGAGTGAGTGGGTGAGTGAGTGGGTGAGTGAGTGAGTGAGTGGGTGAGTGGGGGAGTGAGTGAGTGGGTGAGTGGGGGAGTGAGTGAGTAAGTGAGTGGGTGAGTGAGTGGGTGAGTGAGTGAGTGGGTGAGTGGGGGAGTGGGTGAGTGGGGGAATGAGTGAGTGAGTGGGTGAGTGAGTGGGTTACGCACCAACGGGCACCGTACGTCCCTGCACTTTGTCCGCCCAGCCTGCGTAGTAGCGCAGCGTCCTGATGGCCCCGTCCAAGTCGACAGAGTAGGTCGTGAGGAACGGCTTCCCCGCGTCCAGGCACTCCAGCGTCTAGCGGGAGTGCCATCATCATCACCATCATCATCATCACCATCATCATCGCCATCATTATCACCATCAACACCTCCAGCATCATCATAATCAAAATCGCCATCATTACCATCACCACTCCAGCCGGGATTTCCCGCTGCAGACGCAATGGAGGTTGGGGTGGTGACGCGGCGGCCCAGCGGGGGCCCAGCAGGGGCGCAATCGCAGCTCGAACCGGGCGGGCGGCCCCGGTGAATACCGGAGGTACTCGAGTACAGTACGATAACAAAAAACATTTGGGTATCCACGCCATTTGCCCGGCGCCAGGCTGCCACCAGGCGCGCGGCGCCGTCTGTCGCAGACACCGAACGCCCTTCGACATAGCGGGCAACGTGCTGCGTGGCTCTGCCCATCCAGTAACCCGCGAGTCGGCGTCACGTCTGGAGCCGCAATGGCCTCTCGCTCCGGCGGCCTGGCAGGATCCTCCACGTCCACCGCCGCCTGCGGTGCGCGTTGACCGGGGCGGCCCGCGGGGTTTGGAACGGGAGAAAACCCTTCGCGAACCGAGATAACCCGGGACAAAGGACCGGCGAAACGCCGCGGCGGCGTGAGCCGGGGGGCGCGGAGTGGCCACGAGCCGGTGGGCGCGGAGTGGCGTGGAGGAGTCACCGCGAGCAGGGCGCGGTCGCGCTCCACCAGGTCGGCGAGGCGAGCGAGGAGCCGGCCCCGCGCCGACGCGTCCATGCGGCGCCACGGCGAGCCCAGGCGGAACGCGGCCCGCGCCGCCCGCACCGCGCGGTCCACGTCCTCCTGCGCACACCATCCCCGGCATCACCGGCATCACCATCGTCATTATCTGCATCACCATCGTCATCATCGTCATCACCATTGTCATCATCGGCATCATCGTCATCATCGTCATCACCATCGTCATCACCGACATCACCATCGTCACCATCGTCATCACCGGCATCATACTGTCACGGTTCCCTCTCTCTCTCTCGACCAGCTCAAGCTTCCCGTACGTCACGTGACTTCTGCGTGTCCACCCCCACAGGGGGGAGGAGGTGGTGGAGGTGGCTCACCTCGTCGGCCTCCGAGACAGAGCACAGGAGCTGTCCAGTGCTGGGGTTGATGACGTCGAATTTCCGACCGCTCGCGGCTTCCTGCCACTCGTTGTTGATGAACAACTGGGGGGGGGGGGGGGGGTAGAGGGGCGGTGGTGGTTATGGTGGGGTTGGTTATGGTGGTAGAGAGACGGTGGTGATGGTGGTGTCGTGGTTGTGGTGGTAGAGGGATGGTGGTGGTTGTGGTGGGGGTGGTTGTGGTAGTTGTGGTGGTGGTGTGAAGGCAACAGCGTAGTGAAATGGAGTCACACACTACTGCTGCAGTCCTGTGAGGCACCAATCCACCCAGAGCGCCTCGTCTCATTCCGTTACTCCGTCTCCGTTTCAAACGCAGAACGAGAAGCTACGTCCCGTCTCATCCACCACCACCATAATGCAGGTCACAGACACACACACTTACTCACCCACTCACTCACCCACTCACCCACCCACTCACTCACCCACCCAATCACTCACTCACCCACCCACACACTCACCCACCCACCCACCCACCCACTCACTCTTCCACTCAATCATTCACTCACCCACCCGCTCACCACACTGCAGCTCACCTCGCTTTCTCTCTCTGCCTCTCCCTCAGTGCCGGATTAAGCTAGTGCTGGGCCTGTGATGTGTGTGTGTGTGAGTCGATGTGTGTGTGTAAATCCATGTGTGTGTGTAAAGTCGACCGATGTCTGTGTGTGTGAGTCCATATGTGTGTGTGTAAGTCGATGTATGTGTGTGCGTAGATGTCTGTGTGTGTGTCTGCTGGGTCATGTAGCCCGCATGCCCAGCCACCGCATGCCTAAACAGCTTTTGTTCGGCCGGATCGAGGGGGCTAGACGGGCGCGGCACGGGCTGGAGAAGAGATGGAGTGATGTGGTACAGGAGGACGTGTAGCTGAGTGGACTTGCCGATGACTGGTACCAGCGGTGTCAAGATCGGCCTCAGTGGAGGAGGCTCGTGAAGGACGCTACTGGGCAGTTGGAGGCAGTCGCCCTCCAACAACAACGGAGGGCGGAGGAGCGACGCTCACAACAACGAGCGGAGCGCCGGGTGGCTAAAGCACAGCAAGTCGGCACAGTAGGGGGCACAGGTGGTGCATCAGCCAGTCATCTCGGTCATCTCGGTCAGTCGACCCGTGGCACCTGGGTCTGCCCCGTGACCTCCTGCCAGCGGGCTTTCGACACTTCACGTGGCCTCAAGGTGCACTTGGCCTGGCACAAGCATCGTGGTGACGTCACCGCCACTTAGTGGCGAATGGCGGTTGTTGTTGTTGTTGTTGTGTGTGTGTACGTCGATGTGTGTGTCTTTTTCGCCCGGGCAACGCCGGATACTTCCCGCTAGTATGTTATAAAGGGGCCCTAAATAAAAAAAAAACACTTAAATATTAAAACACGAATGTTTTACTTGCATAGTAAAGTAATAGTATTTTTCATTTGCGATACGGCGAGATAATACGACAAATCGCTTAACCTTAAACACCCAGTCGTCCATAAAAGTTGAAGGCGGTATAGTACTATAGTAATAGAGCAAGTGCAGAATCATTGAACTGGAATTGATAGCTAGTGCAGGCCCCGGTGTTGTGGGGAGAGCAGTTTCAGGGTTGTGCCTCTGCCTGGACACTCTTATCGACTGCGCCCAGCTTGAGGGGGGGGGGGGGGGTTGGGGGACTTTTGGCTCTGTGGTCGGCAACGATCATTGCACAACAACAAAAAAGACAACAAAAACACAACACAAAAAAAGATCCCCCGTGCAGGCTGTGACGGACTGTCGGGGCAAGTGCCTGTTAGCGGGCAGGTGTAAAGGCCGAGGGGCTGGGTGGCCAGCACCACACCCGGCCGCCTTTGTCTCCCTCGAGGCGATGTTTACACACCGCACCAGGTACTAATTTGAGGCCGAGTCCACCTAGGGAAGGCCCAGGACCGGTTCAGATAATCATCGCCGGTGTTGGCCGTGAGCGGGAATAAGAACTCGTGTCGCCGGGTTCGTAGCGCAGCGTAGCGCTAACCGCCACACTACCGCTCCCCACACAATCACACACAGACACACACACACGTGTACACAGACACGTGTACACACACACGTGTACACACACACACCCGTGTACACACACGTGTACACACACACACGTGTACACACACACACCAGTCAGAAGCACTCACTAACGCACAACAACCGCCAGTGGCCGTGACGGGGGTGTCTCGACAATAGACGAACGGCGCACGACCCGAGTCGTAAACAACAACATTATTTATTTCTCTTGCTGACCAAGCGAAGGGTCACCGCTATGGGCTCTGGGTTCGGCTCGGCGACGTCGATGCCACCGTTGGCCGCGTCACGATGGGCGTGGCTTGCCGGGGGTTTCCCGCCTTCAGCGGGACGTGCGTGGCAGCGGCGGCGGCAGCTGCGCAGCGGTTCCCGGGGTGACCGCGAGCGGCACCGCCGCTGTCGACGGCGGCGGTGCCGCTCGGACTCGACGCGTCTCCATCGCTCCCTCGGGGGGGGGGGGGGGGGTCGCGAAGCCGCGCCGGTTCCAACCCCTCTCGCCATCTCCCCTCTCCCCCCACCACCCACGACCCTGTGGACTCCGACACGCGCGGCGACCTTCGACTCGCGATAGCGACGCCGCCCGCCTCCTCCGGGGTGCCCCCCCCCCACGAGCTGTCCCCAGCTGCCCTCGGTGCCGCTCGACCTCCGACCCCGGCGAATGAGGTCACTCGCGATCGGCCGATCGCGAGTGACCTACACCCCCCCCCCCCCCGCGGCACGTGACGTTCGCGAGCCCTCGTCACGGCCGGCGCGGTGCGCGAGTGGGGAGCGGTGGCGCAGCGGTTAGCGCGCTGCGCTCCGAACCCGCGACCCGGTTTCGACTCCTGCCCGCGGCCGCCAAGAGCGGTGACGATGATCGATCTGAAGCGGCGCTGGGCCGCATCGCCGCTGAAATGACGCATCTCCCAGAAGGCCGCGCCGCCGATGGGCTGCGGACGCAACGCTGTAATTTATGAGGCGGGCAGATGGATTAATTATCGATAGAGAGGGAGACATCGTCCGATCATTTACTCTGTTAGTCGAGGGGGGGAGGGGAGGAGACGTTATTTATAAAAGCTGAGGGGGGGGGGTGCGACCCGCGTTCGTCGCTGCAGGTCGACCACTCCAGTCACCCCCCACAGCCACGGCCACCGCAGAGGCTCCTGGGGGTCGAGATCAGAGGGCCACGTGGTGCCCCCCCCCCCCTGGGGGGGGGGGGGGTGTAACTGAATCCCGAATGGAACGAGCTGCTGAGTAATTCAAAACATTTCGCAAAACGTGTGGACCCAGACGCCCCCCGGCACGAGTGGCTCTCCTCTCGGACGGCTTCACGCCACCTCTGAACGTCCGCGTCGTCGTATTGTACGGTTAACAAAGACAAAGATCCCCCGTATAGCCTTAACAGACTGAAGGGTCAAGTGCTGTTAGCGAGCACCTATGAAGGCCGGCACGGCACACGAGGGGGTGGGTGGCCAGCACCACGCCCGGCCGAGTCGACCTAGGGGAGGCCCAGCGCCGGTTCAGATAATCGCCACCGGTGTTGGCCGTGAGCGGGAATTGAACCCGGGTGGCCAGGTATTAAGTCCGGCACGACACACGACGGTGCGGGTGGACAGCACCACGCAGGGCCGCCTTTGTCTCCCCAGTGGCGATGTTTACAGACCGCACCAGGGACTCGTTTAAGGCTGAGTCGAGCTAGGGGTGGCCCAGGACCGATACAGATAATCGTCACCGGTGTTGGTGGCCGTGAGCGGGAATCGAACTCGGGTGTTGGGGTTCGTAGCGCAGCGTAGCGCTAACCGTTGCACTACCGCTCCCTACAGATACACTGCACACACACACAAATACACAGACAAAGACCCCCCGTATAGCCTGAACAGACTGTTGGGACAAGTGCTGTTAGCGAGCACCTATGAAGGCCGGCACCGCACACGAGGGGGTGGGTGGCCAACACCGCGCCCGGCTGCCTTTGTCTCTCTCGTGGCGATGTTTACACACCGCACCAGGAACTCTAACACGCACACGTTGACGCGCCGCCAGAGTCCCCACGCGCCCGCCGTACCTGCGTGTACTTCATCTGGGGGTCAGCCACGGGCGTGGGGATCGGGCCCCCGACTCCCGCCGCCACCTGCCCCCCGGCCCCCTCGCCCCCTCTGCCCGCTCCGTCGCCCCTCTGCGCCATGGCCAGCGTCAGCGTGCGTCCCGACGAGTCTGCGACGAGTGGGGGGGGGGTCCGAGTGGGGGTCCGAGTGGGGGGCAGAAAGATCCGATGAGCGTGCGAGCGTGCAAGTGTTGTGCTGCGTGTGCGCGGTGTGTGACCATCGCCACTGGGGAGACAAAGGCGGCCGGGCGTGGTTGCTGGCCACCCAACCCATCGTGTGCCGTGCCGGCCTTCATAGGTGTTCGCTAACAGCACTTGCCCCAACAGTTTGTTAAGGCTATACGGGGGGTCTTTGCCTATAGCATAACTTTCCCAACATAAACTATACGAGGTGGGGTGGGGGGTGGAATTGTTTTGCCTTTGTCGGCAGCGAGCCGTCGACGCTTCCCGTGGCCTCAAAGTGTACCTAGCCTGGCACGAGCGCTGCGGTGATAACAACACCTTTTAGCAGCGAATGTGGTTGTTGTTGTGAAAGTGTAGGTGCGCGCGCGTGTGTGTATGTGGGGAGCGGTGGTGTAGCGGTTAGCGCGCTGCGCTACGAACCTGGCGACCCGAGTTCGATTCCCGCTCACGGCCAAAATTAGTGACGATTATCTGAACAGGTCCTGGGCCTCCTCCCCTAGGTCGACTCAGCCTCAAATGAGTACCTGCTGCGGTGTGTAAACCACCACTGGGGCGTGGTGCTGGCCACCCACCCCCTCGTTTGCCGTGCCGGACTTCAAAGGTGCTCGCTAGCAGCACTTGCCCCGACAGTCTTTGTGTGTGTACGTGGGAAGCGGGCGGGCGGTAGTGTTGAGGGTGTTACCGACTGGCGCGATGCGACCATACGAACCTGCCTCTGCGGTGCTGAGCCGGGGAGAGGGAGGAAGGACGGGTTGGGACACACCGAGAGAGAGAGCGAGAGTGGTTACACCACAGAGCTTTTCAACTATAAAGTTGAAGGGCAGCGACGGTGGGAGGAGAGTGGGTGGGCCATCGTGACCTTGCGTTTCTACTCGGGTCTATTCGCGTTAATGATCAGTCAGCCCTCCAGCCGATAATACACAAAAACATAAAATCTCAGAGTCAAAGGTTGGCCCCGAGCTTGGACCTTGTTTTTCGGCCGCTGTCACGGAGTCGATGGCGTCGCGCAGAGTAAAAACTCTCTCGACGCTCTCCCCTCGACAAGACGCTGTCGCCTTCTCAGGTTCACGGCGCTCGTTTCGCCGAATCGGGGATCTCGGGGGGACTTCACGCCGCCGCCGCCGCTGCGTTGGCGGTAGCCGTGGCGGCACCAGCGCAGATACCAACAGCGGCAAGGCACTCACGCCGCCAGGTGTCCGTCACAGCGGCCAGCAATAAACAGCGCGATTAAAGTTGTGACCACAATCTGCCGGGTGACTCAGGGGTGGAGTGAGCAGCTTGCAATCGGGAAGGTCGAGGGGTTGACGCGGGGTTGTGCTATGGATAGACTTTCCCCACGCCTTACAAATGTGGAATTACCATCACAGGCCCAGAGCTGTAACGAGAGACCGTAGAGAGAGGCACGCCCCCATCTACATCGACGGGACCGCGGTGGGGAGGGTCAAAAACTTCACATTTCCTGGGTGCGCGCACCGCTGAGGACCTCACGTGGCACCATCACATCGACGCCGCGGTGAAGAAAGCGCAACAGCGCCTCTTGACCCTCAGGCGACTGAAGAAATCCGGCATGGCCCCTACGACCCTCATGGACTTCTGCAGGTGCACCCTTGAGAGCATTCTGCCAGGTTGCCGCCTGCAACGGCGACTCAAACCGCCCTGCAGAGGGTGGTGCCGGGGCCACGCGCCGCCTGCCCCTCAGGACATTTGCCCCGCTTGGTGTGGCAGGAAGGCCGGCACGATCAGTGAGGACCTCAGCCACCCAAGCCACTGACTGTTCACTCTGCTACCGTCTGGTAGGCGGTACAGGAACATCGCGTCTAGCACCAGCAGACTCCGAGACAGCTCCTACCACCAGGCCGTCAGACTGTTGAAGAGCCATCACCGTCGATGGCTACCTGCCTTGTACTCTGACCTGCACCTTAGAGACCTTTTTCTACACACACACCCACACACTCACACACAAAAACACACAAACACACACCCACACACCCACACACACACGCTCACTCACAGACACACACATACGCTCACTCACAGACACACAGACACACGCACGTTCACACACACACAGACACACGCTCTCTCACAGACACACAGACACACACGCTCACTCACAGACACACACACGTTCACACACACACAGACACACGCTCACTCACAGACACACAGACACACACGCTCACTCACAGACACATACACTCTCACTCACAGACACACACACACACACGCTCACTCAGACACACACGCTCACTCACAGACACACACACACCCGCTCACTCACAGACACACACGCTCACTCACAGACACACACACGCTCACTCACAGACACACACACACCCGCTCACTCACAAACACACAGACACACACGCTCACTCACAGACACACACACGCTCACTCACAGACACACACACACACACGCTCACTCAGACACACACGCTCACTCACAGACAGACACACACGCTCACTCACAGACACACACACACTCACAGACATACACACACACACGTTCACTCACAGACACACGCTCACTCACAGACACACACACACGCTCACTTACATACACACAGACACACACGCTCACTCACACACAGACACACACGCTCACTCACAGACACACACACGCTCACTCACAGACACACACACACACGCTCACTCAGACACACACGCTCACTCACAGACAGACACACACGCTCACTCACAGACACACACACACTCACAGACATACACACACACACGTTCACTCACAGACACACGCTCACTCACAGACACACACACACGCTCACTCACATACACACAGACACACACGCTCACTCACAGACACAAACACACGCTCACTCACAGACACACAGGCACACAAACGCTCACTCACAGACACACACACGCTCACTCACAGACACACAATGTTACTCTATAGGCAATGTTAGTCTATGGGCAATGTTAGTCTGTGGGCAATGTGAGTCTATGGGCAATGTTAGTCTATGGGCAATGTTAGTCTATGGGCAATGTGAGTCTATGGGCAATGTTAGTCTGTGGGCAATGTGAGTCTATGGGCAATGTTAGTCTATGGGCAATGTTAGTCTATGGGCAATGTTAGTCTATGGGCAATGTTAGTCTATGGGCAATGTTAGACTGTGGGCAATGTTAGTCTATGGGCAATGTTAGTCTGTGGGCAATGTTAGTCTATGGGCAATGTTAGTCTATGGGCAATGTTAGTCTATGGGCAATGTTAGTCTATGGGCAATGTTAGTCTATGGGCAATGTGAGTCTGTGGGGAATGTTAGTCTAAGGTGAATGTTAGTCTGTGGGCAATGTTAGTCTATGGTGAATGTTAGTCTGTGGGCAATGTTAGTCTAAGGTGAATGTTAGTCTATGGGCAATGTTAGTCTAAGGTGAATGTTAGTCTATGGGCAATGTGAGTCTATGGGCAATGTTAGTCTGTGAGCAATGTGAGTCTATGGGCAATGTTAGTCTGTGGGCAATGTTAGTCTATGGGCAATGTTAGTCTATGGGCAATGTTAGTCTGTGGGCAATGTGAGTCTATGGGCAATGTTAGTCTATAGGCAATGTTAGTCTGTGGGCAATGTGAGTCTATGGGCAATGTTAGTCTATGGGCAATGTTAGTCTATGGGCAATGTTAGTCTATGGGCAATGTTAGTCTGTGGGCAATGTTAGTCTATGGGCAATGTTAGTCTATGGGCAATGTTAGTCTATGGGCAATGTGAGTCTATGAGCAGTGTTAGTCTATGGGCAATGTTAGTCTATGGGCAATGTTAGTCTAAGGTGAATGTTAGTCTATGGGCAATGTTAGTCTAAGGTGAATGTTAGTCTATGGGCAATGTTAGTCTGTGGGCAATGTTAGTCTGTGAGCAATGTGAGTCTATGGGCAATGTTAGTCTGTGGGCAATGTTAGTCTATGGGCAATGTTAGTCTATGGGCAATGTTAGTCTATAGGCAATGTTAGTCTGTGGGCAATGTGAGTCTATGGGCAATGTTAGTCTATAGGCAATGTTAGTCTGTGGGCAATGTGAGTCTATGGGCAATGTTAGTCTATGGGCAATGTTAGTCTATGGGCAATGTTAGTCTATGGGCAATGTTAGTCTGTGGGCAATGTTAGTCTATGGGCAATGTTAGTCTATGGGCAATGTGAGTCTATGAGCAGTGTTAGTCTGTGGGCAATGTTAGTCTATGGGCAATGTTAGTCTATGGGCAATGTTAGTCTGTGGGCAATGTTAGTCTAAGGTGAATGTTAGTCTATGGGCAATGTAAGTCTATGGGCAATGTTAGTCTGTGGGCAATGTTAGTCTGTGGGCAATGTTAGTCTGTGGGCAATGTTAGACTGTGGGCAATGTTAGTCTATGGGCAATGTCAGTCTATGGGCAATGTTAGTCTATGGGCAATGTTAGTATGTGGGCAATGTGAGTCTATGGGCAATGTGAGTCTATGGGCAATGTCAGTCTATGGGCAATGTTAGTCTATGGGCAATGTTAGTCTATGGGCAATGTTAGTCTATGGGCAATGTTAGTCTATGCCATAGACTAACATTGCCCATAGACTAACATTGCCCATAGACTCTATGGGCAATGTTAGTCTGTGGGCAATGTTAGACTGTGGGCAATGTTAGTCTGTGGGCAATGTTAGTCTGTGGGCAATGTTAGACTGTGGGCAATGTTAGTCTATGGGCAATGTTAGTCTATGGGCAATGTTAGTCTATGGGCAATGTTAGTCTATGGGCAATGTTAGTCTATGGGCAATGTTAGACTGTGGGCAATGTTAGTCTATGGGCAATGTTAGTCTGTGGGCAATGTTAGTCTGTGGGCAATCTTAGTCTATGGGCAATGTTAGTCTAAGGTGAATGTTAGTCTATGGGCAATGTTAGTCTGTGGGCAATGTTAGTCTGTGGGCAATGTTAGTCTAAGGTGAATGTTAGTCTGTGGGCAATGTTAGTCTATGGTGAATATTAGTCTGTGGGCAATGTTAGTCTAAGGTGAATGTTAGTCTATGGGCAATGTTAGTCTGTGGGCAATGTTAGTCTGTGAGCAATGTGAGTCTATGGGCAATGTTAGTCTGTGGGCAATGTTAGTCTAAGGTGAATGTTAGTCTATGGGCAATGTTAGTCTGTGGGCAATGTTTGTCTGTGAGCAATGTTAGTCTATGGGCAATGTGAGTCTATGAGCAGTGTTAGTCTATGGGCAATGTTAGTCTATGGGCAATGTTAGTCTATGGGCAATGTGAGTCTATGGGCAATGTGAGTCTATGTGCAATGTTAGTCTATGGGCAATGTTAGTCTACGGTGACGATAGTACGAATCTGTACAGAGACAAGGATGCACGAGAGTGAGATGCGACTCCAAGTGAAGTTGTAAAGAATGGACAGCGACGCGTGGGATTGCGATGTAGTGGTGGAGCACAGGGGGATGGTGAGGGGGAGGACGACGCGGGGAGGGTGACGCGAGGAGGACGACGACCGGGATCGAGGAGGCACCTGGCGGGGAGTGGCGGTGCGTTGGGGCTCCACCACGGGCTGGGCACGGCTCGGGGAGCTCCGATGCAAGCATGGCCACCTCCTCCTCGGCTCCACCACACTCGCACCTCCACCACGCTCGCACCTCCACCACACTCGCACCTCCACCACTCCTCCACTCCACTCCTCGACTCTTCTCTTGGACTCGGCACCGCGAGGCTCACAGACGCGCTGTGGTGCAGACGCCACACCAGAGAGCGGCACTTGATAGCGGGTGGAGGAGGTGCTGGTTGTGCTGGTGGTGCTGGTGGTGGTGCTGGTGGTGCTGGTGGTGGTGCTGGTGGTGGTGCTGCTGGTGGTGCTGGTGGTGGTGGTGCTGCTGCTGGTGCTGGTGCTGGGTGGTGGTGGTGGCGGTGGCGTCAAATGTGGCGGTGGTGTTGGTGGTGGCGGTGGTGGTGGCAGTGGTGGTGGTGGTGGCGATGGCGGCAGCGTTAACCTCCAGCCGGCCAAACATTCGTCA